CTCGGTCTCCACACCTTCACCGCTGCTTCCCCCGGCCACACACACCAACCTCACCGGGGCAACCCGGGCTCGCAGCGGCAGCAGCGGCACAACTTCCCTGGGCACGGCCCGGGCACCGCCACCGAGCCGGGACCCTCCGGGGCCGCCTCGCAAGGGCCGCCCGCGCCCCCCCAGCTGCGCCCGAGCTCGCCTGGCTGTGCCGCCCCTGCCCGGGCCCCGCTGGCCCGGACAAAGGGGCACCGGCCCCCATACGGCGGGGCTGCCACCGGCGTCCCGGGGCCAGCGCGGCCCCGGCCCAGTGTGGCGCCGCAGCCCCGCTGCCCGTCCCACGCCCTCATCCCGCTCCCCTTGGGAGCACCGCCAGCGGCCCCAGCCCCGCACTCACGGTCGGGCCGGGCGCGCTGCGCGGCGGCCCCAGCGCCGGGACCATCCTCCGCCGGGCGGACACGGACACGGACACCCCGCGCCAGCGCCGCCACCGCCTCCGCGCCACAGCCCGCCCGCGCAGCCCACCCTGCTGCCCGCGCCGAGACCAATCGCCGCGCGCGGGGTGAGTCCCGGAGGCCAATCGGAGGCAGGCAGAGCGGGGAGGACGTCGCTCGCCCTCAACTGGGCGTGGCCGGGCTGGCGCGGGCCAATCGCCGCCACAAACATTGGCGGCGCGGGCCAATCAAAGACCAGGGAGGGCGAGACTGGCGTCAACAAGGTAAGTTGGCCGAAACAGGAACCGGCGGAGAGCGGCACCGCAGGCGGCCAATGAGCGGCGCGGACAGAGCGTGAGGGGGGGCGGGCGGGAGCTCTTAAAGGGGCAGGGCCGACCCCGGGGGGGGAAACTGCTGTGAGTCACTTAATGCGTGGGTGGGTTTTGCCTTCAGATGCAAAAGTGCCGCCCTGCCAGAGCGGCGGCGAGCGGGGACACGGCGCTTCGGAAGAAAACTCCGCGAAGGGGCTGCGGGTAAAGGGGCCAAGAATCACCGGAGCACCGCCCCCCCCGACACTGAAACAGTGCCCTGCGACCCGGCCAGCAGCGATCGGGACAGGAACTGGGAGCTGGGTAAAGATTTTCCAAATCCTGGATGCCAGCGAGCTGTTTTGGTGGGAGCCCAACCACCTCCGGCGACTGGGCTGTTCCAAGGTCTCTGCTGCGGCTGATCCCTTCACAGGTGTTTTTATACAAGGCTTTGTCCCACATCGTGCTCACACTTCGTTCGGGGGAGGAAGGCGCTCCATCCACCTTCCTCGGGAGTTAAATCAGAGTTTAAAGAAAGCGTTGTTTTATAGCCGCTAAATTCGGGACTCTGGGCCACTATCAACTCCCCACTACCTCAATTTGTGCTTCCTGCCGACCCCTGATTCAATCACCAGGCCTAATAAGGGATCTTCCCATTTCCAGCCTCAGCTGTGTGTTTCCACGGATATCCTGACACAGCTATTTTCTGGAACTCTTATCAAAAGTGTTTTACAAGTACAAACTGTATTTTATAAGCACATAATAGAATGATAAAGGGTTGGAATGGACCTTAAAGACCCTCCCATTCCAACTCCCCTGCCAGGGGCAGGGACACCTGCCACTAGACCAGGGTGCTCAGAGCTCCATCCAACCTGACCTTCAATACTTCCAGGGTTGGAGCATCCACAGCCTCTCTGGGCAACCTGTGCCAGTGCTTCACCACCCTCACAGTAAAAAATTTCTTCCTAATATCTAATTTACATTCCCCCTCTTTCAATTTGTACCCATTGCTCCCTTGTCCTGTCACTACAGTTCTTGACAAGAGTCCCTCTCCAGCTTCCTTGTAGCTCCCTTCAGATACTGGAAGGCTGCCATGAGGTCTCCACACATTCTCTTCTCCAGGCTGAACAATCCCACCTTTGTCATGGTACCTCTGCTTACCTGTGGGCGATAATGGAGCTTGCAGGGCCTCTTCTTTCTGAGACAACCTAAAAACGCAGAGCTGTGATGTCTGGGCTTTGTGGAAAACAGATACCTTTTTCCCAGCCATATACCTTACTAAAATACAATACAGAGCATGGACAAGTTTCTGAAGCAGTGTCCAAGAACTATTCTGCTGCTGAAATGAGTCATAGTAGCAATCAGATGTTAAAAAACCCAAACCAGTTTATTTTTAATAGCTGCCTGCTTGCAAAATAACCTTGCAGCTGACACGAAGTGCAAGACCCATTTGCTAGCTGTGAAGAAAGTTAAGGCCCAAGCTGTTTTTGCAGAGAAATTCTAAAGTTACTATAAATAGCAGCTTCACAGTGTAAATTATAAATTTAAATGCACTTTTTTGGTTTTCATAATCTTTAGTTCTGATATGACAAACACAACCAAACTGGAAGACAAAATCTGAAATACCACTGCTCCATCAATGTATTCCAATATAAATTGAAAGTTTTTTCCTCTTTAAAGGGTAGTGTGCTTTTTTGGTGGAAATTTTTAGTAAAAGACACCCCTTGTCCAAAGCAGTAAAACCAAGTTTACCTTCTGCCACCCTGTAATACTCTAGAGTGTTTGAGCTCATAAATTGTCAACACCAGAACACATCTGAAACACGGTGGCAAAAATCCAGCAGCAGGCAAAACTCCACAGGTGAAGTCACATACAACAGGAACCTGCTAAGTATCAGTAGCCTATTTCTGTTGGAGAATATAGACTTGCAATTATATGGCAAGATGCTTAAGCCAAAACAAACAGCACAAATGCTTAGAAAAGCTTTACATTAAATAGGTAACTTGGTGTTAATGTGACAGGTGAAGAGTTTCTGCAGCTGTATTTCAGATAGTCTTAACCAAGAACTTGAGCGCAGTTAGGGTTTTTTTTGTGGTTTTTTTTTGGTTTTGTTTTTTCATTGTTTTTTTTTTTAAATTCTTAGCTGTAGTGAGGTTTGAATTCAGTTCAGTGAGCAGTACTGGCCCCAGTCTGTATGATGTGATACAGCAGCTGACAGGGAATCAGAACACAGGTCAGTATGTCTTTCCCCAGTGCAGGAGTTTCTTGCAGCCTAGAGAGCTTCAGCTTGTGTTGCCACAATGCCTTCAGGCAATATGGTAGTAAAACTGAATGCTTTTGCAGTATTAAAGCACTGGGGAGGAGGAAAGAAAGCAGAATAAAAAGAGAGGGATAGAGTAACCTTTCCATTATCTATTTGAACTGATCCTCTTTAGGGGCAAGGGAAAAAGAGCATAAGGCAAGTCATTTGTCCCATACAAAGCATCTGGATTAGATGGGTTGAATAGGCTTGGAGAACCCCCATGGAAAGGAAAGTTACGCTGCCAGACGCAGATCACAACACTCACCTGACAGCTTGGTTTGGTAGATACTCAAAAGGACTTCAGAGCTTTTGGACAGGGATCTTTTAAGTAATCTAAGATACTGCAGGATCAGAGGATAGTATCCTCACAGGGACAGCAAACTGATTAAAAGACAGATCACAGGGCATAGAGTAAAAGATCAGTTTTCACAGTAATGAAAGGTCAGCAGTGGAGTCAAAGATTTGTTGTGGGGTCTATATTCCTGAACACTGTTTTAAAAAAGGAAATAGTGAGGTGAAAAAGTATTAAGAATGAGGAGTGACAAGTGAACCTTCTAATGCTGAGTGACTGGGCATTGTAATAGCAAATTATTTCCAGCACAGGTAAATATGGTGATATACACATTGGGGGAAAAAAAGCAAGAATCCCAGTTTTTCAAATGAAGGGAGTGACTTGACTTACCACTCACTCACTAGATCCTGGTGTGGTAATTGTTCTTTAAGTAATCGTATCAGTAACAAAGCAAACAGTTGTAACTAAGAGATAATAGCGCGCCTTGATTCATTACAGGGGCCCTGTAAATACCCAAGTTTTGAAAGCAGTGAGGGGAGTGTAACTCCCTGTAGAACCAGCACAGCTTTAGGAACGGGCAACACAAAGGATCAGAGGTATCTGCTAGTTCCCCTGTACAGAAGTAACTGAATTTTCTAAAATTCAACAGGTTGTTTGAGAGGTAACTGGGCTGAGGGCAGAGAACAAAAGAAACAAAAAAAAACAGAGATCAATAAAAGCTGAGTGGTTTGGAGAACAGCTGCAGCAGTTTAAGTACACCAAAAGTTTTGCAGCCTCTGCAGCTGCTGATGAGGCTGGACTGATGAAGGCTGCACTCCTGATAGCAGTTAATCTCCAGCTGTGCCTTCCCGGCCCTCCAGCAGAGGTCAGGGAAGACACGTGGTAGCAGCAGCGCAAGACTACAGACAAGTTTCAGAGCCTAAGCTTTGCTTTTGCACATTATTTTAATGAATGCAGCAACTCCATTACCGGGAAAGAAGTTTCCAAAGGAGCTTAAATTGAATAGAATACAATGTAGAATATTTAGAGAAATATTTCTTTTTCCCCAGAACCTGGGCCAGAGTGCAACTTCATCACTTCATATATGGCACTTCAAAGCAGGAGAGAAGCAGAATGAAACTACAAACAAAAAATGGCTTTAACAGAAGAGATTGGAATAGGTAAAAAGAGAGATGAGTTTTACTTAAAGATCTTTCTGAGAAAAGTCACTATGGAAGAGTACGTGCTGCATCTTAAGACCAGTTACTTTTACAAGTACAGACCGTAGTTTTTCAAAGATTGTTGTCAAGATTTGTAATAACTAGCAGCTAATTTGAATACTTTAAATTATTTAACCTGGAAAGCCCAAAACAGAGTTCTTGACACCTGGTCTGTTTGTTTCAAGACTGCTCACTAATCAATGGGAAAATATTCCAGGACAGTTCCTCTTCCTATGTTCCCCTCTACCCCATAGGACAGGATTTCTGAGGAAAGGCTCATAACTTCAGGGAAAACAAACAAACAGACCTCACTCTCCTCAGTTGTCAGACACCCTTGGCATTCATCACAGCAATCCAACATACAGTTTGTGTTAGAAATCTTCTGTGTTACACAGTTTATGAAACATCTGAGGAGTATTCTGTATCTGATTTCAGAGGGAAACAGCTGGACTGCAAAAAATTGCACATGACAAGTTGTAAATGACATAACTCAAATAGTGCACGTTTATTCTGAACGGTATTTCTAAAGAGTTTGAGAAAAACAAAAACATGCTCCTGATGTACAACAAGGGCAATGATATAGATTAAAAATGGACCATCTTATTGTAAAGAATTTGCTCCCCCTGCAACTTAACTTGTAACATTAAGAATTAATCTGTAAACTGCATAACAGCATACCTTTGACTAAACCTTAAACTCAAGAGACCAGGGGTGGTCTTAGCCAAATTAATCAGGAAGCAGTTGCAGACTCAAAAGAAACATCCAAGTCAGCAAACACTTTACGAAACACAGACTTTGTGCATAGCAGCTGACCCTGGATTACAACATGGGGGAGAATAAAACAATTTGGGGAATCAAATTTTTACTAGACACAGGGCACCATCAAGATTTAACGAAATATCACATAAGTTTGTTTCAATCGTAACAATATGTCATATTTAGTTGGCAGGTTTAACCATTAGCTGCATCATGTAAACTCAGCCAGTTTCTGTATAAACAAAATAAATTCTCTCCCTTCCCCCTCCAAAAAATGAGGGATCTCTCTTCTGGATGATTCTTTTTCTCCTGTACCATGGTTTCCTCTAGTAGGAGTCTTTTTGTAGATAATATCTTCATACTTCAACCGACATAGGACAAAACCAGTTGCAGAGATTCAGGAATAACTTGTATATACACAATTTACACTCTAAAGCTGTTAGTCACCCACATTTTTCTTGCTAGATCTTCATCCAGAACAGGAAGTGCTGGTGTTTTTTTTCCCCACTGAAACTCCCAACTTTTGAAAAATTTACTTGTTCATAAGCTGCTATTTTCAAGCTAAAGGGATGTGCTGCTGCAGCAACAACCAAAGTCGCTGAAGTTCTCTGCAGTAAGCCCATACGTCACACAATTTCAGTGTCTCTGGGTAACACCACTAAGATACAGCATTCTCCTCCCTCCCTCACCATGGTTGATATACTAATAAAATACAACTGTTTGTCATCCAGAACTACTGACCTTCACTTGCCCTTATCCATGTACAGGGAACAAAACTTTCTCTGAGATTCAGATTAAACCTTGTATGCAAGATTCAACAACTGTTTTCCAGGATTAATAGCCTGGGAAAAGGAGTCTTAGATTTGTGATTACTCTCTCTTCCACCTCCTACAAAACATTTTATAAGAAGTTACAGTGAGGCAGGTCTGCTGTGGAATAGGAGCTTTAAGAATTGTTTTCATGGATACATTCATAGAATGATGGCAGCCCAAAGCAAAAAGAGACAGAAACAAAGGTTAATCCAAGTAAGTTCAGACATCAGACTTGTGTTTTTAAACCTGAAGGAAAACCGTCTGTGAAACACACTGATTTGTGGAAGCCTACGACAACAGCAAATCCTAAGAGTTCATATCCCCACACCCATCTACCCAACCCAAACACTTACCACTTAGTTCTAGAAGAATGAAGAGCACTTTGCTTGGCACCAGAGGCAGCTATGGTCTGAGTTACAGCTGTGCTGCACAAACATCCTCAAATACAATACTATCTCTCTCTCCCTCCACATACTTCTCTTGGTTTGGTCTACAGATGGCCAGGGAAACTATGTTGGCATATGACAAGCTAATTGTGCTTCAATACACCCCCTTCTAGAAAGATGCTGGAACGGCCAATATAACCACTGTGAGCAGGTCCTAGCCCCACTGAAAATAAGCTTTTGTCAAAAACTAGGCTGCCTCTGGCCAAGGGAACCATTTGCATCTTTCTAGCCAGAGTCTGCCACTGAGTGTTGCAAACACAGGTGCTCAGGCCACGCAGACAGGCTGTTGTTAATGATCTGCCCATCCCCAAGACTCAATTAGTGCAAACCCAGCAAATTAAGTAGCTGTTTTCCAGCATAGGTCAGTCAAGATGCACTCCAACAAACGCTACATACCTCTGGGAAAGAAGGAGTAATTCCGTAGCAGCTCATGTAGTCACCCCCTGGGTATCAAAGACCACATAGTGTGCAACGAGGGGTGCCATCCCGTGCCTCACCACAACTCTTATCTTGGAATCCTTGGTTCCCAAGTCAACCTCTAATGACTGGACAGCACCTACTAACCAGATGTGTGCTGCAATGATGCGCACTGTAGGTTGGAGGCTTTCAGAGTGGATGAATTCAAGATGCAGATTTAAATTTTAAAAAGCAAACAGGAAAGGAACGCAGCTCAGCATCTACTTGGAGGATGGGGCAGGTTGGTGTTGTCTCAGCTCAGTGCACTTTCCCAGGTGCTTGGAGAAGAGTCCAAGCTCAAGTTGGTATTTATATTGGCATACATAAAATCGCTGGCAACAGTGCATAGGAAAGGAGCATGAAAGGATGCAAAGCAGAGCTTAGTACAGTTCACTGTAGCCTCGAGTTTACAGTACTAGGAAGAAGCCAGTCAGCCTATTTTCCAAACCCATAAAATGCTCTAATATATGCTGCTTTCTCCGGTGCTCCATGAACACCCTCCCACAAGAGGAGAACTGCATTATTACTACTGAACAGGGAAAGGGGAAAATAATCTTCAAAGGAGCAAACTGTGCAGTTCTTCACCACCTCTTCCCGAAGGAGCACATAAACACAGCAAGCCAAGCCAACCCCAAGCAAATCCAGGAGACCCCTGCAAAGCTATGTGACGAGGGTCAGACTCGTGTCTGCCTTCTCAGCCTTGCTGCCTGGTTTCCTCAACCCTTACCTCATCTCTAGATGTGTCACTACAGGTTTAGTAGCTGTAACAAACTGGAGACAGATGCTTGGTTATGTGATCAAAGCTGGTAAGGTGGTCACAGTCACTTTTACCATCCCAACACCACAGGTAAAACTAACTCTCAATGAGCCCTACAGCATTTTGCCCATTTTTAAAGCAAGGGTCTTGCCTCAGGATTCATATTTTTACAAGGTTACTCTTGCCAGCACCAGATCTAGCTTTTACTCTGGCAGAAGTCTGCTGGGAGTTGGGTAAATGAAAATAAGAAAAAAAAAAGACCACTCTAAACTCTCCTCTCAGTCAGTTAAGAAGTGTAGCACCAGCTTGGGTGAGGAGTATTTAAAAAAGCATTCAAAAAGATCAGCCCAGGCAGAGCGAAAAGGTATGGTAAAGTAGCCCACCCTTCTCAGCAAAAGATGGAGGAAAAAGCCATACTCAAAAATACTGGGAAGAACTAAATATACTTTTTTGAGGCGGCGAGGGATTAAGAGTGGGAAGTACTGAAGTAACATTCAAAGGTTGGGGGAGAGTAAAGTACCCTGTAGGTTATAAAAAACACAATAATGTAGGAGTCAAAGGACAAGATATTGCTTTGCCTTTTTTCCCCCCATTGGATTTACATTCTGCTTACTAAAAGAGTAATTCTGAAGGAAACTTGTCATCAGGATAACCTGCTCAAGCCCTCCACACCTCAAACTTAAAAGATATCTGCACACCTTTTCCCACCCCAACAGAAAACAAAAAAACAAGCCCCCTCAAAAAGAACCCTACCAGAAAGGAGAGCTCAAAAAAAAAAAACAAAAACAAAACCAACCAAAACCCAACCCCAAAACATGATTGGACAATCCTTGGAAGAAGCATTACATTTTGTTGGAGAGAGGTCAAGAAAAAAAAATTAAGATGAAGCGGTGGAGTAAAAAACAAAACAAAACAAAAAAAAAAACAAAACAAAAAAAACACCCTAAAAAAAAAATCAAGAGGCCTCTCTTTCCTTATTTGGCGACAAGCAAGTGCAAGAAAGTGTCCGCTGGGGTTTTGTTCAGTTGTCGGTCTTTTGCACATCTGCATTCTGGCCAAGACAAGGGGCTTTGAGGTTTTTCTGCAGCACATGGGCATCTGCGGGCTCTATCCTCTTGTAGTAGTTTTTCTTCGTCTCAATGATCTCAAAGCCAAATTTTCTGTAGAAGTCAATTGCGGACTCATTGCTGATCTGGACATGCCTGGGACAGAAGGGAAGAGAGAGAGACAGGTATCAGTATTCTGCCTCCACACCCAGAACGGTCAAAGATAAGGTAAGAAAAGGAGCTACCCAGCTCCTTCTAGCTGTTCTAGCTGTCTAAAGACAGGAAAAATGGTGTAAATTGAGGATTGGAAATTCTGCTCTTCCCAAATCAGTTCTGAGCTAACACTCAGCTCCTGGATGGCCCATGGTAACCAACAATAGTAAACGTTTCCCCTCAGTAAAGCTCTTTTAAGGAACACAAAATAGCAGAGAGACTCTAAAGCACTACTACCTCAGTAATTACAATTTTTCTTAATCTGGAAATGGCAGATATTTTGTGGAAATACATAACAGAGTTTCACCGTAGGGCCAACTTTAATACCCTGTAGTAAATACTTCTCAGATGACCAAAGGAGTTGTCTAAGTGGTGATCCCAACACACTTGCAACATAAAACTGGCAACTGTGTACACCTTGCTCACTTTTAACTACCCCTCTCTCCTCACAAAAAAGCTATGGCAGCACAAAGAAGCCCTATGGATTTACAAAGTCCTTTCCCCTTTCTTGCCCCTTTCACCTATTTCCCTTGAGTTTTACAGACTTCGCTAGCAAATTTCAAGAGTTCAAGGCCTCCAACACAAACAGGCATCAGTTCTTCATCCTAAGTGACTAGGACATCTATTTGCACAAGTTTCATTAAAAAAGCAAAAAAAAAGAGAAGAAAGAAAGGAAAAAAAAAAGTTTGGCTCAAAAGGTATTCATTAAATACTCCCAAAATTCAGTGGACACCGCACAAATTCGTGAATCACTTTGTCATGACAACACGCTGAATAACCATAGAACCAAAGCAACTCTGGAAGCAACAGCAAAACAAAACAAAAGATCTCAGTGTTAAGCCCAATAAGCATCAAATAGCTAAAAGGAAACTTAATAATAATGACAAATTAAGGCACTGATGTTAAGCTGTATAAATAATATATTCAGATAGAATATGCACAAACATCAGACACAGTAATAAAATCAATGGGCCACTAAAAGAACTTTGTTATGCCCAGTTTTCAGGGTTATTGTTATCCCAGAATCCTTATTCTGGGAAGTGTAATGAAGGATTATGAAGGATTTTGCTTTTTGCATTAAAACCAGCAAACAGCCCCTTCACTGTGCACACAGTAATATGCAAAAACGAAAGCCCCTGTCCCATTAGCAGGCATCTGAGAGAGAGTTCATTACCACTTTTGAGGCAGGAGAGCAGGAATACAAGCCAACAGCAGCTTTACTCAGACTCCTCTTTAAAACACACATTCCTCTTACAGAGATGGCACAAATAAACAACAGTAGAGGACGTGAAAGACTTTGCACCTTCATGGTAGAGGTGGACTAAGCTTGAGGAGAAAGTCACTCCATTTATAGTGGTATTGGTGTATGAAACACTCCTCACTCAGCATCTTCAACAGTCCTGGCAAGAATTCAGGGTGTAGTTCTGTGGCAGCACAAGTCCATCCATACCTGCTGTGGGACTATCCCTAGCAGTGCATTGTGCTTGTAGTGGTGTAAGCAGACAGTGATGGACAAGGAAAAAGCCGGCTCAGAGAAGTGATCAGGCAAAAAACTGCATCAGCTCACTTGGTAATTGCACAGACACCAATGCACAGGAAGAACAAGTGTGAAGCCAGCAGCAGAGAAGCATGGCTTTGGCACCTATGGATATCAGGCTCTATTTCCAGAGGGACCAATTAGGATGGCTGTCCTCTACCCCAGTGCCTGTTCTCTTGTCTGCATCATGCCAAGTGCTTGTGCAGTTGATTGAAAAAAAAAAAAAAAGAAAAACCACAGAAAACCTTCCCCAAAACCACACTAAAACGAAAAACAACACCCAGAAATAAAACTGAAAACAGCTTCCCCAGCTGGGTAAGGGCACTGATCTAGTTTATTGTGTTGCTACACAAATAGCTGACCTGTCAGTGTGCAGGAATGGGAATAGCAGTTTGGCCTTACTACTGAGTGTAAACTCTGAGTGCTTGCAAGCATCTCAGATCTGATGTTCTAACCCACAGAGTGCTGTCACAACAGACAGATGGCAAATGCACCAAAACTGCATGCAAGACTGAAGGCGACATTGTAGGATAAAAATAAAATCCTTTCTAAAAAGATTTTTTGGTAATACAGTGTAATTTTGCTCCAGAACATCATTTTGTAACCAAACTACTTTCGAATTCAGCAAACTTGCAAAAACCCTTGTAAAGCAAGCAAGCTTTTGGTTTTCTCAGCATCACACAACAAGCCCAGAAGCTTTCTTGCTAGAACTTAAAAGATTTTTGCATGACCCCACTGAAATACATACTAAAAATGCTCTTGGATCTCCCTCCCTTTGCTCCTGTATCTACTCAGAAAATGCATGGGTGTACCTTCTTTACTTACAGATAGATGTTGTCAAAAGTGCCGTCTTTTTCACAGATGTTTAAAACGTGATTCAACATTTTAGTTCCTGCCGAAAGGTAAAAAGATACTTCAGAAAACCAGAAGGGCACAATTAAGTACTTAGCTAGGTGCTTTCTTGAGGAGAGGCAGGTTAACTGTAGGTAGACCAAAATGACAGAGCTTGTGAAAAGTAGGAAAGGCAAATAAAACATGATGTGCAGGCATTTCACTGTCTCTCTGACTGCTCACAAACTTTAATTCATTGTTGCTTTGAAGAAAATAAAAAAACCCACAACAGCCCAGAAGCATATTTTAATACTAGCTTCAAGGTCTCAAACTCACCTCAAAAAACGGTCAAAACAATGTATAAAGCAGTGAGAGCACTGGTAAGTTTTTCTACCAAAGACCTAGTAAAATAATTTAAAATAAAGTTATCTTTTCATTCCAGTTTATCAAAGCAAATGGGTTACTGTAAGGTCTTGATTAATCTGGCCTATGTATTTGCAAGGTAGATCAATGAACCAAATGCAGTATAGACAGAAACCAGGTACTACCCATGAGCAGCAATGATCAGTAGTGATAAAGACAAAATAAACAGAAAAATTGTACATTTAGAAGAGTAAAGGAAGAAGCCAATGAAGGAATGTTGTACTCCATTTATGTATGACTTGCATACTGGCTACATACTGCTAACAAATTACTTCATCTCTCTGCATCAATTTTCACATCTATAGAAGCAGAGTATTTACATCATAGTATGATAATATGGTTAAAATTAAAATAATCTGAAATCCTGAATTAAAAAATTCTACAAAAAGTCCATTCCTGAAAGGCAGGGAAAAAAGAGCACATCATAAATCATACTCTTTCCCCCAAGTCCCTTCCAAAGAAACCAGTGGTCTAAAAGTGCACTAACTTTTAAAAATCTGAGAGCGCATCTAGAATGCTGCACAGCAATCTGGTTTCTCTGGTGATTCAGATACAAAAGATCCTCCTTACCTATTCCTAGCCTTCGGTAGGGTGCCAGGCATCCAAGTGTCATGATGTAGAGCCTCTTCTGGTTCTGGGAGTGATCCACCCTACAGCACACTGCTCCCACTGCAATATCATTGAAATAGGCTGCCAGGGAGAGAAACAAAGGGTTATCAGTCACAAATCTCAAACTATACATACAGGTCCTTCATTTACACCCTTGATCTTCCTTCCTCCTTCCCCTCCTGCTAATTCTCCCATCCAGATAAAATATCATATATTGTGGATTCACACTTGAAGTTACCAGTGGAGCTCTAACACAGTGGGTGCTTATTACCATTCAAACCAACCAGCAATGACATCAGGAGGTAAGCTGGCAGCACACAATTGTTTTCTGCTGGAACAGAAAACGTGCCTATTCCCAGTGGGATGTAATCTATTTAGAACACAAACCCTCTGAGGCTGGGACTGCTGCTTTTTTTGAAGTTCCCAAACAGTTATTTTTCATGATGTAAACCAACAAAATAGAAGGAGCTGCTGTTCAAAACCATTACGGACAGCAATGATGAGCACTTCTGCCACCATAGCCCACAGTTACTGGCAAGAACACTTGTACCTAATTTGGCTAGTTCGCCAACCTCCAGTACATCCTTGTAGAACTTGTCATTGTAGCTGACAGGAAAAATGACCTGGTTTAGCCTCTTCAGCTGCTTAATGTTGTGTGGCGTCACATCTCCCAGCTCGATCCGGCTACTGGAACAAATCAAAACATGCTTAACATCTGACACACTGCAAAATTTTTAAGGACATAAAAAATTAATTATTTTATTTATGCTTAGAGAACCGTCCCACCTAATCATCAGTTCAATACACATTTGAACTGCCATGTTCAACCCATACAATTAAGTCTTATGTTGATGGCTGATATAACTCCCAAACCTAATTTCAGTCAGTATTATACAGTCAGAGATTTCTCAGGCCACACTTAACACTAACGTACCGTAGCGCACATGTGGTTTCTTTGGGTGGGACACAGGAGAATACAAATCTCTGCAGAAGTATTAGCTTTAACTTTATACTGCTAATTTTCCCACTGATCATCAAAATCACAAGGGGAAAGAAAAGAAAACCCCAAAGAAAATACCAGAGGAACAGAAAGCTAGAATAGAGACCAAGGAAATGAAGTCCTTATCCATGCTTCATAGACAGCCTTAATTTTACCACCTATCAATATAAAGCATCTGCTTAGACAAAGACTAAGTCACTACTAGGTATATTTCTCTAAAAAGCAACAATACTGTGTGCAGCAAACATATTAAGCCTGTTAATATGCAAGTGTGCCCCTCTCAAGGTGGTATCTGCATCTACTATGATCATCTCTGATGTAATTCTTCCTGCTGACTGAGAGCACAATCACAACTTTAAAATACCAGTACTGAATTATACTGAGAACAAACAGACCAAGCTTCTCTCTTTTCTAATACTAACTTCCTGACAGAAACACTATATACACAGAAGCAAACCTAAACAAACCAAAGAAAAATAAATAAAGAGATCAGCTGCCCCTGGGTGAATGTAAGCAGTTTTAACAAGGACTACAAGAATGAAAAATAAAAAACCCAAGATAATCAAAATCATTTCCCAAATGGTTACCAGAATAAGAAGGCAGGTACAAAGCCAATACACATGGAATTAGAAATGCAAAGAATTCTCAGTTCACCTCGGCCCTGTTTTTACTGAATTCATATGGGCAACTAGATTGTTTTCTGCCCAAACAGCAGGAGAGACACTGCTCGCCTTTTAGAAATAAAATCAAATTCCATTTTCAAAGAAGCAGCTTTGTACATCAGGCTTGAAGTTCATTCTAGTAATGTGCTGCTTTCCATCTCCAATGTCTCTTGTGCCTAGGCAGGTTGTTTTTCAGATAGGTTAATCCCTAGGACACAACAGCACAAGTTAATTTAACTAACACAGTGACACTAAGAAGATATAATAACCAACAACTTATTTTTCTTTAAGAACTGCAACAAGCAATGCAGAGTATAATCTGTCTCTGTTTTATTAACTGACCTTGGTTATACATAAAAACCCCCTTAAATGATTAATACTCCAGATATCAGTTTTAGTTGTCACTACCAATGATGGGTGATAAATGCACAACGCTCTCTGGGCATTGTACTGCAGCCTGAAAAACTATCAGAAAAAGCTACAGGAATGGAGCCTTTAACATTTACTTCAAGAACCATAATTTACCTTCATACCTACTTTCTCTTTTTACAGCAAAGAATACAGTTTTCAGTTCTGCAGAGATATCAAGGCTCACCATTGCCCACTCTCTGGCATGACACAGATCAGACAACCGCTCTAGTGTTCCCTACAGAAGCTAAACAACTTGTAAGTAGGGCCTATTTTTTAGAGGACCACCAAGCATAAATGGATAATTGACAATTTTGTAATTCTCCATGACATTAATATGTTCGAGTTACTACTTTGAATTAACGGATGGCATTTACACATCAACTTTTTACACTCACTCCAAAGTTTAACCTTTTTGTCACACATTTGCCAAAGAGATTAAAAAGCCCCCTGATTTCAAGCATCTCGTGTCAGTACGGGTTCTTGCAAACTCTTCCAGGCAGCTCCTCATCTATCTTCCCCCCACCACACTGCACATGTCAACCTTTTTCTTCCAATTGCAAAGGCAATTGCTAAGCAATGAATCCTTGCAGTTTGTCTCCGAGCTCTGCTCAGTTGTACAGCCATCTCCTGAGAAACATCTCACTACGTGAACAGTATGTTCTCCAACAGTGACTTCAATAATGACAGAAGCAAGAGACTCCATATTCTTACATTTCATCCATGTGAAGATACACAGGCATACTATAGGCAAAACCAAAAGGTTATATGTCTAAAGTTTCTTGCTATAAGCCACTACATTGTGCTGAAATAGTCTGCAGTATCTCTTTTCTGTGAGTCCTACCACAACCAGCCCTTTGTTTCACAGCCTTTTCCATCTTCTAGATTATTTTTGCTCTCAAGATGCCTTTCTTCATGTTTGCCATTTGTGTGAGTCCCTTTGATAATGCTATTCCAACACACAATAACTTCTGAGCTTGTAAGGATGATCTCCTCACACCCAGAAGTTATCAGATGGTGGAGAAACTGTAATGCTTGCTTTATGCCCAGCTGTTCAGCCTAGCATGGCAGGGCTTCTTCAGGCACACAGAAGGCAAGTTTTGCCCTTTTCTAATCCCAGTCAGCAGTGCTGCTACTTCTTCCTCACAAAAGGCAGGAATAAAACTGTGGCATGTCTGTTCCTGGGTATATTTCTGTCTGTTAGAGAGTTTTGCTGGAGCAGACCACCTTAGTAATCTTGTACTAGAAGGGAAGAGAAGACTGAACAGCCTCTTTTGCTGCCATCTGCATCAGAATGGAAACCAAAGGGAGCACCAAAGGGAGACCAAAGGTCTCAACTGCCCAGGTAGGCCAGATTAGCTGCAGTGTAGGTCAGTGAGAGAGGAGACAAATCTCACATTCATATTGAGTCATCAAAAGTCTAGACCTCTTCTCCAAATAATATATTAACCTTGGCGATCCTTTTTTTTATATCAATAGTTCCAAGCTTCCATAGATCAGCAATGCTAGCATGATGAACTCACAGCAAAGTGGTGAACTCACAGCAAAGTTGTTACACAGGAAGTCCCTTTTGATACTTGAGCAAAAATCTCTGACATAGATCATCAGGTACTGCATTTTCAAATACTATTTTAAAATAATTAGTTACTAATGAAACAAATGAGGCATTAGAAGGCAGTCACTGTGAAATATTTATGATGACAGTGCAACAGGACAGAGATATATTATCACAGGCAGCCAGGGTAGGATGTCTAAGAAAAGGACCATGGTCAGAAGGCAGACCTTCACCAAGAAGGTTTCAGACAGACGATAAATAAATAAATAAATGCAGAAGCAGAGTCCAAGGCTGCTGGTAGCTGCTGAGCTGAGACATCACCTCTGAGGCTGGCATCAGGCCAGAGAAACAAGCTGCAGTAGTAGGTGTCTAAAAGGTGCTTGTCGACAGATTTCCTTGAGCCCTTAGACTTCCCCCCTCTATCTCTCACCACTTGCCACATTCACTGCTGCCTCCTGCCATCTCCTGCTGCCTGCCTCCTGTGCTCTGTCACTAGCTGGTTCCTCGCTGCTTGAGAGTTGCACCAGGGCCAATATTTTATCCTGGAGGAAAATATGAAAAGGGTTTGAGAAACACTGCAGGAAGCATAAATCAATATGCTAAATGCATCTGCTTAAACAGTACGCACTAAAACCATAAATTACTTTAATGTATAGTACTAGCTGATTAAATCAGCACCACATCTATTACAAACAAAAACATTTAATAAGCAAACTAAATGAGGATGTGGAAAGGAAGACCCACATCATGAGAGTTCATCATTTTGCCTGAGGACAATGTGGCAAAAGTGCCACTGTGGCCTTGAGTAAAATCATGGGAAAGCTGGCATTGCTGCCAAAAGCAGCAGTCTTGCTGTCCCCAAGCCACACATTCCTGTCTTCTTTTTGGCACAAACATTTGTGCAACAATGTGGTAAACCAACACCAATTAAAACTAACCTAGCCAAAAAAAGAAAAGTTTAGTTTCAACCCACATCAGTCCCCTGACTGGGTTCACCACACAAGTCTTCTGCCAGCATAAAGAGAAAACAAGTTGCCAGAGGCAGAACTTGTTGGTTCTTGAACAGAAGTGCCAGCCTACCCCAGTTTAACCTGGAAGCGCTGTGCAAGAGCAGTATGGGGATGTCAGCACACCTGCGAACACAGTACAATGTCTAGCCAATATGGTGCTACACTTTATCATTTACAGAACAACATACCCTTTAAGGATTTTAAAAAAACTATTCCAAATATCCAAGTCAAAGCACCTGTAACAAAGGACACAAAATGATCACTCCCTTCCTTTCACTGGAGTAAAGCAAATAGCTTTGTGGGACTTTTTGCTTTTTTGGTTGTGGGTTTTTTTTTTTCTGTTAGTTTTTTTTGTTAGTTTTTTTTGTTTTTAACAGCTAGTTACAACTAGACCTGCTTCTTCAAGCTACCTCTCACCCAAATCGGTAACATAACAGACCTTGTCAGCTAAGGTCTGATTAGGCCAGTCCTATGCATTCCCACTCAGTAGAAGGTGTATCAGAAATACCTATCCTCTGCTGTTGCAAAGAAAAAAAAATAAATTATGAGCCCAAATTAGCAGAACATAAAGATGTGTACAGAGCCTGAAGCATCCAGAAGGGACATGCCCTTCCCTAACAGATTATTTGACTCTATGATGCCAATAATATTACTAAGATGATACACACTACTGACACCCTACATCTCAAATGGCACTCCATGGAGCATGCAATAGTCAACTGTACTCCATCTTAACTTCTGGAACAAGTCAACCACCCACCCCAAGCAACTATTTTTAATGTGGCAGATTGAGGGACTCCTGGGTCATCATGTCAGGCCTCTTACTACAACAGCATTCTACAAATCTATACTCTTTCCTTGATGGAATAACAGCCCTCTGAAGCCACTTAAACGCTTTCCACTGTAAGGCTGTTCCCAAGATACCATTACTCTCATAGTTAGGCTTTCTTCCGATTTCCGTCCTAAATGCAGTCAAGTCTACCTATATGATGTCTGTAGACGATGGGTACCAATAATGCCCATCACACGTGCCTTTTCAGAGAGTTATGATC